GATGGACGCCCCTTTAGGAAATCCCCCTTAATTATGAAGTTCCAGATCTGGGCGGCCACCCGGGAAGGAAGCACATTCATTAGGAAACCCAGGCATACAGCCCGGCCATGCCAAGCAGCTTTCTGAGCCAGCTCCCGAGGACCACGGCCTCGCTGAGAGTGCATCTCCCGCGCCTTCCTGGTGACAGGTTCCATCTGCCAGCCCCTGAGGAGTCGCTGATTGGGGAGGGCCTGCTCAGGGACCTGCCATCCCTGATGATGGGCTCTCCCTCAAGCCTTTCACCCCAGGCTTGTAATCTCAGCTTTAAGGAGGATTCTAGTCCCTTTCTCCCACCCCACCACAACTAATCCGTTTGCCAGGGCCCCGTTCCAAGAGAAAGCTAATTAAAGAATTTTTGCTCTTGGCTCAGCCTGGACTTTGAAGATTCCCCTTGGTCTTCCTGAGTATCTGAAAACAGGTGGAGAAGAGGGGTGTCAGAAAGGGCATCGGATAAGTCCCCAGTAGTCTCCGTAATAGGCTTAATCCCCCCAAAGCCAGCAGGCATCAAATAGTCCTTCACCCCCTACTGCAGAGAAGGGTCTCGGAGGAGGAGGACTGGGGGCCCTTGGTGACCTCGTGAGCCCCAGACTGCAGAGGGCTCGCTGTCCTAGCTTCCCGTGAATGCCAGGCTGTGTATTCCCCAAAGTTTTGGGGGGCCAGGAGAGGGGAAAGGCAGGACATGAACCCTTCGCTGCATGTGTTCCAGGGCAGTGAAGGGCACAGGTCCCAACCCAAGGCTGTGGCAGCAGCTTTCACGTAACTCAGTAGCACAGGCTCCCTCCTTCCTGCCCCTTCCCTCTGGTGCCCTGCCTGCCCATGTCTTTCCTCTCAAGAGCTTGTTTGCCTCTCAGAGATTTTAATCAACGAACCACAAATATTTATTCAATACTTACCAGTAGAACGAGAGCTCCACAAAGCAGGGACCTTTGGGGTCCCACTCACTGCAGTGTCCTCCATTTGGGCAGGGCCTGGCGCATAGTAGGTGCTCAATAAACACTTGATCGTGGGGTTGGCCCTCAGGTCCTGAGACAGAGGTAGTTTCTGCTCTCACAGAGCTTATACCATTGCTGCCTTTGCAAGATGCCTGCGGGGTCTTTAGGGGATCACTGGGCTCCCCAAATGGGGTATGGGATCTTAGAGCCTGTCTCCCTGTCACTCTGAGCTTTGGCCAGGCCTGATATAACCCTGGGGAGAGTTGGGGCTGTCTGCTACCACCCTGGCTGGCTTCTGCTCCCCCATTTCCCTCTGCAGGGCCGGGGGGCAGGGAGCATTTAGACCCTCAATTCCCTATGTAGGGACCTCGGGGGGCACTTGCTTGCATCACAGAAAAATAAAATGACAAAAACCTGCCAGTGAATTCTGGGTGGCAGTAAATTACTTAACACCTGAAACAGGTTGAAATGTGGCCACTGTGGCTTTTAATAAGCCCATCTCTGATGCAGCCGCTTCCGCGAGGAGCCGACCAGGTCTCTTCTTGGAGGCATAATTTCATCGCGGTCCAGGTTTGGCAGCAGTGCAAATAAGATTTCACTTCCCCTGTAAATCTCTGAGGGGGAGCGCCAGGATTTCATTTGTGCTGTCAGTTAGTGGCTTGAGAGAGCCTATTTACTCTGGCGTGGGAGGAGAGGGTCCTTCGGAGGTGCCAGGTGCCAGGTGATGTGGTGGGCCCGTGGGGAGGCAGGTGCTGAAGCGGGCCTGGGGCATGGTGGTGAGGAGGGAAAGGCAGCCAGCGTCAGGGCCGGCCTGGGAGCATACTTTGTTTTGGACGCCCAGAAATAGGTGAGCAAGCTGCACCCAGATCTACTGATGGAGTGTTTTGGGGTTGACTGGGTGTCCTCTGCTCCATCTGTGGAACCTCCTAAGGGTACTAAGAACTGGCCAAAGAGCTTAGGTGTGAGGGGTGCAGTTTGGGGCTTGAATTCCTTCCTGGGTTTGATTGCTTCTCTTTCAGGATGCTTGGTGAGGCCAGGGACACCCTGACCCCCACTGCCCGAGAAGTGGCGGCACAGGAAGAGGGAAGTTTCTGGAGCCTGGTGGTGGCCAGGTAAAGGCAGGGTCCAGGTCCAGGGGTCGTGGCTACTCTTTCTTTGTCCCATTTGAACTAGAACTTTTAGTCCTGGATCTGGCCAAACAGGTGGAGTTGGATGTATAAAGCCAGGGCCCTGGGGTTATCCCTTGGCCATAGGGCAGCCATTTGGGGTCTTACCCCCTACCTGCCTGTAACCCCAGTGTCTGTGAATCCTGAGATGTCTTTGGGGAGAAGAGGTCCAGAAGCTGTTTGGCTGCAGGGCAAGGCAGGTGCTGAAGCAGATGGGGCAGGGGGGTCAGTCCCCATCTCCCAGTGTCCATTTGGAGATATGGTAAGAGACAGGGGCTCCTCAGGGTCAGTGGGTCCCCTCTACCACCCAGAACTCATGCTAGCTTTGCTTGCTGTCCTGGGAGGACAGGGCTCACTGCCTCTCAGACCACTTACTCCTCGTCAGAAAGGGTTAGTTATGTCTGGAAGATCTTTTTTCTATAGACCTGAAGTACAGATCCTGGAGCCTCCCCGACAGGTCCTGATGGGTCCCTCCTATGACCCAACCTCATCTGGGTTTCCAGCCCCTGAGGGCATTTATTAAAGCCTGAGGTGCCCCAGCCCCTTATCCTGTCCTCTTGAAGCTGAAAGCTTGGATCAGCTAGACATTGCCCCTAGCAGGTTTCAAAGAGCAGCTGCAGACTTTGGCTGTCTGTGGTTCGAGGGGTCTGTGGAACAGGCCCCCCCAGCCCCATTTGGATGCTTCTCCTCTGTGTTGCTGAGATACCTGAGCCTCCTTGCCAGAAATGCCAGCGAGCTCAGTGCTGGTGGGCCAGGGATGCTGAGTAAACCCCGGGGGCAGGCATGCCAGTGTTGGGGGGCCTGCACTCCCTGGACAAGCGGAGGGGATCCCAGCATTCTGTACCCTCCAAGGAGGCTCCAGCACACATTAGCAGGGTCAATGCTGCCATGATTGTGAAAGTAAGAGCAGTGAGCTCTTATCATGCACACATTTTACAGAGGGTAACACTGAAGCACAGGAGTAAGAGGCGTAGCCCACTTCTGAGGGACTCCAAGGCCCTCTCTGAGGAGCCCTCCAAAACAGCAATGACATTAATCCAGTTGTTCCCAAGTGCATGTGACTATGAACCCTCCCCGGGCAGAAAGTTCAGTAGCTCTAGGGGCCGAGGAACAGTTTCTCCTGCCCCAGCTTGAAGAGAACCCCATGGGTGCACTGGTTTTGGAGCTACCACTGTGTATGGAGTACGATGAGCTAGGGACAGGCCCATCTGTGCCTCATCCTCTGCTCCCCACTCCCCCTGCCCTCCTCGTGGAAAGAGGGGTACAGGGGAGAAGTAAAACTGTCAGATTACTGGGACGCTGGGGCTGCCAAGGGCTGCCCCTCCTGGGACTCAGCATCGATCAGTTGATCAGTTGGCAGATTGACTTACTGGTGTTTATTGACTCACCCTTCACTTCACGTTTACGGGTGCCTCCTGTGTACCAGGCAAGTGCCCTCTGGGGACTGGAAGGGGTGCCAGCCAGGGGCCCCCAGTGAGGAAGGCATGGAAACTGGTCACCTGTGCAGTGTGGGGCCCAGGGTGGAGCCAGAGGGGACAGCCTTTCCAGACACAGTCCCCCAGTGGAGCCTTCCAGGCAGGGCCTTCATGGGCACCCTGAGCCCAGAGATCACAAGGCCCAGACTGGGAGCCTGAGTCAGGGCAGGCCTGCCTGGGGAATTACTGGTGCTCAGTGTGGCCAGAGGCTGGGCTAGCGGACAGCTACTGTGCTTACGGAGGAGGCTGAGCCTTTGCAGACGGAGGTCCAGAATTGGATTTATCTTCCTGTTCCCTGCTTCGGGCCTTCTCTCTTGCTCTCCCTCCTCATCTGAGGAAACATCGTCAGTGGAAACATGGCTCCACAGAGACCCTCCCCACCGGTGGGCTGGGGCTGGGCCCCCATCTCCTCTTCCTCCATGAGGCAAGAAGGATGCCCCATCTCAGCCCTAGCACCCAGCAGGCCCTTTGTATGTATTTACCGACTGCCTGGCTGACTGTGCTCTCAGATTGCTTGGCAGCCCTGGAGAATGGGTCTCATGTAGGAAAGGGTTGAGTGGCCTCCTGAGCATTCACTGTGTGCTGGCGCCTAGGCAGGGGTTGGGGAACAGACTTGGCCCTTTCCAGAGGCCGCATCAGGTGCTGCTCTTTGGCGTGTTCTCTCTTGTCTGGCTCCTACCAAGGTGAGAGGTGAGGACTAGGAGTTGAGGAGGAAGAGGGGCCTGTGTCACTTCGGCAGAGCCACCCGCCACCAAGGCATGTCGAGAAATAACTGCTTCCTTGGAATATGAGGAAAAACTCATTAACCCATATCCAGACACGCATTCGGATTTAAGGCAGAAGTAATGAGTTATTTTATGTTAAATTTAGCAGAAACTGCCATTGTTCTCATGGAAAATCATCATTTTTTCCTTTCCCCTCAATGGTATGAGATACCACATAAGGCTTAGGGAGCTGTGAATGTTAGGGTGCCTCTAGGGGACAAGGGGTGTCCGGGTGGGTGGGGAAGGACCCAGGCCAAGTGTTCAGCAGGTGGAGGAATGGCACGTGTCCCCAGCACCCATACAGTTCCAGCCCTACCTACCTAGGTGTGCACGTGATTGCCAGAGCTCTCAGGGGACAACCTGCAGCTCCCATGAATACCAGCTATGTGGAGACCGGAACCAGCAGTCCACCTTCCCAGGGCCTATGGGGTGGGGTCAGAGGTCCCCCTAACGGCTGCGGATTCATTATTTTGATCCTCGATGGTGCTCCAGGGAACTTAGCCCAGAGTGTCTATCCCGCCTGGCAGCCACTCCGTGCTGGTGGGCCCCAACAGCAGAGCTGACCTCGGAGAGAGGGGGTGGGGGCTGGGGGAGGGGTACAGGCAGTGGAGACCACATGTGCTGCAGACACCTGGCCCCTGGCACACCAGACCCCAAGCCGAGTCAGTAGCCAAGATGACTGTAAAAGTTAAATCTTTCTATTTATTTCAAGAAAGGACAAGGAAAGTGGACTTGGACATTTTATATGAAAACAGACAAACAGAAAAAAAGGACCAAATAGTTAATCACATTCATCTCAACATTGAAGTTTCAAGGCACCTACAAGGAGGCCAAAGGGCGGTTCGCAGTGCACTTTGGTTTGTGTTGTCGTCGTGGTGGGTGTTTGTGTGTCTTGGTTTTCTGAAAACCCCTGTCTGGTGGTGAGGTGGGGAGTGAGGCAGGCAGGCCCGGGTTTCAGATGGCAGCAGGCAGCAGTGGGAGTCGTCCCATCACTCAGACCCCCGAGAGATTGCTTTACCTTTCAGAGAAAAAGGAAAAAAAGACAAGGAACTGGCGGCCGAGTGGCCTCACAGGGCTGATTCAGCAGGCGAGGAAGGCCAGGGCTCAGGGGAAGCCCAGGGTACCAGGAAGACAGAGGGGCCTTGGTCATGGGGCCGGCCTCCCCTCCCCATCCCCTAGCTATTGTTTGGCTGGGAACCCTGCCTTCTGCAGCAGAGGGACCCCCACTTCATTCTCCAGGGTCCGCCAAGGATCTCTCCTGGGCTGCCTCCTCCTTAGACTGCTGGAAATAGATCCCACTGAGTGAAGCCTGAGTGGCTCCAGAAATCTTTACAATACCAAATGAGATACAAACAACCTTTTAACATCCCAAGAGGGAATTGCTGTCCGTGGCTCTTAAAAAAAAATGTTCACTCTGCAGTGCTTATGCGTGGGGTTTCTTTACTTTTTTCCTTTACCTCCCTGTTCACACCTGCCTGGTGACATTCATAATTAGCAGGTGTCCACTCCTGTAGCTGAACCAGGCCCCCGAGCCATCTCTCTGGCTCACCTGCATTCGCAACCCCACAGCCTCCCCCAACCTGCCATCTCTCTCCCTGTCAGATGACAAACCTCCAATGCTGGGCTATTTGGCTTCCTCCCCACCACTCTCAGCATCTCTTTATGAGCTGGAAGGCACCAGGGCCCTCCATCCAAAGAATCCCCCCATGCTGCAGCCTGGTGGGTGGCCCTGGACACCAGGGTGGGTTTCTCAGCTGGGTTGAGTAAAACAAAAACAAACAACAAAAAAAAAACCCTAAGGCCAGTTTCAGAGGTTTGTGCCTTCCTCCTGGGTATCCAGAACCTTTCGAAAACTGGACCAGCCATGCTCTGAACATGTGCCCTGCATGGGGCAGGTGACAGGTGCCCCAGATGGTCTGGCTCAAGGGAGGTGAGCATGTGGCAGCCCCATGTCTGCTTCTGCTTTGATTGTCAGGTTCCAGTTGCATTGGTTTTCTGTCTTGAGGAGAAAGCCTGGTTAGTTCTTCCAGGTGAGTGGCTCTGGGAGCAAGGATTTTGGATGGGAGTGTCAGACAAGTTGAGACACCCAGTTCTCTGCCCTTCTCGTTACCCGCGTGAGGCTCAGCTCGGAGAGAGGAAACTGAGTCACCCAAGCTTGCTGTTAGATCTTGCCCAATGGCTGGATTTGCCCCTCAGGCTCACAGCTGGTGATCAGTGGGTCCAAAGGACAGCAGAGTGAGAGGCTTCTGGGAGGAAAAGCCACTGAGAGGAGCCCCTCTCTGGGCTGGCTGCTGGCGAGGCAGGTGCAGGATAGGAGGAAGGCCATTGCCAACATATCTGCCTAGGCTCTTTGCACGAGCCCAAGGGGGCAGACAGCAAATGAGGAGGACAAGAAGTGAAGGGAGACTCAGAAAAGAGAAGCTAGAACTCCTCTGTGTGACCCAGCACAGAGGAGCACAGGGACCTGGCATCTTGCCAGGGTGGCTGCTCACCCTGATGGCCATAAAAGAGATTTAGGGGTGGTGACAGCAAGGACCTTCCCACAAGGACTCTCCGAAACTCCGGCTTTTGGGTTTTCAGGTGGAGATGGGGGCAGTGTGGGAAAGACAGGGGTCAGGGCACTGTGGTGGCCACAGGGGCCTTAGGGGCTAGCTTTGCTAGGAAGTGGGGGCCCGGTCAGCCCTCCACAGGCAGCTGTGTGCCCTCATCATGCCCACACTGCTCTCCTAGCACAAGCTGGACATTTTTAGGAGAGACATGGGAGGGGGCAGTGACAGTGGTCTCCAGCAGGGAGACTGAAGGTCTGGCCTGCGCACAGTGTCTTCAGGGGTGGTGACGTGAAGAAAGGGCTGGCCTTGCCCCACAGATTCGGGCTCTCGGGGCACACCTGCACACCCACTTGGTGGTGAGAAGCTGGCCTGACCCCAGTGACAATAGAACTTCCGAATCTAGAGAAACAATATATTTAAAATGCAGAGTGAGGGGAGGTGGGAGGGGACTCAAGAGCCAAGGGGATCTTTTTCTGAGTGTTTTTAAAGAAGCAAGTGTGGGTATTTCAGGCAAGTACTTGGACCATTTCAAAAGAAATGGTAAATGCTTGAAAACAGAGTGAAAAATGCCCCAGGCAGCCGTCAACCTGGCTGGGAAGGATGGATAGAGCCAGCAGCAGCGCTGAGTGTGGAGTGCGGCAGGGCATGGGGGCGGGTAGCCGGGGGCACGCAGCAGGTGGGGGGGGGAGCCTGGGACCAGTACAGTGGGTGGTGGACCCTCTGACCAGACTCTAGGATGGAATGAGCGTGTCTGTGCTTCCCCTCCCGCTGCCTCTTGGACACCGAGGATGGGCATTTTGCAGCATCTCTGGTGGCACAAGCTGTGTGTGCCTGCACTGACCCAGGATTTTCAGGGGATACTGGTCATTCTGAGCAGCGCAGTAAACATCTCTTGATATGCTCCTTACAGGGTCCTGGGGGATGATACAGTAAGGGTAGGAACCAGGATCTTTTAGTCAAAGAACCAGGCCTTGGCTAAGGGTGGAAAAGATCTGCCATATCCCCATCAAGTACTTGAATGCTCCTGGTGACAGAGAGCTCACTGTCTGATTCCTTTGCTGGCTGAGTTTCTCTTCCCTGACCTTCAGTTTTCCCTTTCCAGTTGGTCCTGCTCTCCTTCACTGGCCATAGGGAATGAATCACAGACCTACCCCGGGACAGAAAGGAAGCAGAAAAGCACATCTAGAGTCTTACTAAGTGACTAGATCAGCTACTTCACCTTGCTCTTCACCCCTAAAGGGAGACAGAATCTGGAGGGGGGGTGGGGGAGTCCCTGCTGGGGGCTGGGACAGCTCCTGAATGACCTGTGTGGGCCCTGGAACCCTCCCTGTCCCCAAGGTCTGAGCACAAGGCACGTGATTGAGGCAGGACTGCCTTCCCTGAGAACAGTGCTTGAGTCCAGGCTCCGTCCAGCCCAGCCTGTTTCTGAGTGCTCTGGCCTGTGCGGTGTCAGCCTCGCAGACCCCCGGCTCCTCCTGGGGGCTGTGCAGGGGCAGCCTTCGAGCCAGGCTGGAAAATCCCTGCTTTGCACACTGCCACTGGGGGCAGGTTTGTAAAATGCAAAAAATCCCCCTTTCCTTTCACCTCCAAGGAGTTTAATCTCTTCTAATCAATTTAGCAGACTCGCTTGGTTGTAAACGGTAATGATTTGCATTTTTGAGCCTTTTTATGCCTCTTTAAGAAAAAAGATGCCTCCTCTGTCTGCCTTCTGGAAGGCCTGTGCAGGGCTGTGAATTGCTTGTTAGCACTCACCCTGGCACTGATCCAGCGCCAGGCCTCCGCCCATCACCTGCAACTGATCTGAGCTCAGGGAGGGGACGTGAGCATGCAGGTCCCCCACAGCTGACGCTGGCTGTGCTCCTTCCTGGCCCTGAAAGCAAGGTCCTGTCCTTGGGGATGCAGGCCACTGGGCACCCCAGGACCCCTCTTCCAGCAAACACCCCAGCTCTCTCCTGGTTGTCTCCCCAGCCCCGTTGCTCCCTGTCTGCCGCATCCAATTTTCCTTGTTGTATTTTTCATAAGCTTGAGGCTCAGAAGCCCCGTCCTCCTCCCTGGTGTGTTCTGCAAGAAGCAGATTTCTGGAGTAGAGAGGGCTGGCGTTGGGACTTGAGCTGCCACTGGCGGGCTGGGGGAGGTGCCCTCTCCTCCTGCCTCGGCTCCAAGAAAGTGAAGGAGGGAGGCTCAGGTGCATCCTGGGCATGCTGCCCGGTGCTTCTCCAGGCCCCGTCAGCCACCTCAGACCCCACAGGGATCCTCACCTGGCCTGTCCCTCCCAACCTGGGCCTCCATCACCTGCTGTGGATCAGCGAGCACCTTCCAGAATCAGTGGAAGGGAGGAGCCCTTACTTGGTCTTTGGAGCTTCCAGCTTTTCTGGCTTCTCTGAAGCCAGACTCCTGCTTCAGCCCAGCCTCCACTTTGCAGAAGGGGTAACAGAGGCTGTGGATTTACAAAACATGCTTTCCCTCTGCCTCTCTGGAAACCCTTCCTGATCCCTCCTCAAGTGCTGCTCCTGGTGGGCCTCCCTGGACCCCTAAGGGAAGGAGGAGGAGGGAAGGAGATGAGGCCCAAGGCAGCCATGGGCTCTGGGCTCTAGTTGGGGAAGCCTGGCCTCTCCACCAGCCCCAGCCAGGCCGTCTTCCTAGCCGGGGTCCCTCCCCTGCCAGTGTCACTTGGAGCCAGAAAGGGCCAGTGTCCCCGCTCCTGCCCCCAGACCTGGCACCCCACTCTGGGTGGGAAGGCCCTCAAGTCAGCCATGTGACCACTATGTTCCTGTGGAGGCGGCCCAGGAAGCTGGAGCCAATTTACAGAAGATGGAGCCTTCCTCGGGGAGGCCTCAGGAAAAGGGAAGGCGAAAGAGGAAGAAAAGAAGCTTTTGATGCACATCATGTCTGCGGAATTGAGTATGACTAATTAATAGATTTTATTCTTAGTAATCTCTTAAGCATTCCATACATTGGGCCCCACGCCTGAGCTGAGCTTACAAGAGGCCTCATTCGCAAAATGCAAATGACTCACCTGGCCCTGCTGCCTCCCCTCCTGCCTTGCCTTTTCTCCCCCTTCTCTCTCTCTCTCTCTTTTAGGGGAAATTTAAAGCAAAATTGCCATGTAATAGAAAAGAGATTCTAATCACCACATCTAATTACGAAGGGTAAACCACTTAACCAAAGAAGTGTCATGGGCTCTTTTTTTTTTTTCTTTTAAACTTAAAACCTGCTATAAATGCCACAAAATACACTCATCAACACGGAGGCCAACAAGGTTGTTCTGGCTAGTTAGAGGCTGCCGGGGTCAGGTCGGCTGCCCGGAGAAGGGAGATGCTAGACAGAAGTGGTGGCCTGGGTGCCGGGCTTGTCTTCCAGGGCCCTGTCCTCACTTTGTCCATCAGGAGCTGGGGGAGGCTGGGCACCCTGCTGCATCTCTATTCTTGTGTTATGAGGACACTCAGAGGACTTGGACCAGGAGAGGACAGGGCTGCAGAGGAGACCCTGGCTTCAGGTCCCCTCCTTGGCTTGGGGAGCTGTGAGGTGACGACAGATGTTCGGGAGCTTGTGCTCAGAAAGGACTCCAGGGGGGGATGTCTGATGCTGAGGGCAGGAAAGGCAAGAGCAGACCCACTATCCTCAGCTCTCACAGGGCAGGAGGATGCCTGCAGAGAGCCCACCCACCGTGAGCTCCTGCCTGAGCCCCCCAGGGGAGCAGGAGACCCCTATGTCCTCAGGCCCAGGTGGGCCTGGCCTGCCCTGTGCTGCGGGGATCACGGAGGCCTGAGGCCTTTCTACCCTTCACTGACTCCAGGGCCACCTGATGTTCCCCAGATGCCTTCCTGACCTCTAAGGGGATGATTTGACCCCCTCCTGGTGTCAGGAGAAGAAAGGAGGACAGATTAAGATCAGGGGGCACCAAGCTTGTAGGCAGTGGGAACTTGGGGGCTGTGGTGACGGGGACACCAGCAGAAGGCATGGGTGGTGCTGTGAGAGAGGAGACCTCGGGCTTCTTTCCCTCCCCCCTCTTCCTGAGCCACTGCCCCACATCCTCTCACATCCTCTGCTCCTCTCCAAGCTGCCCTAGCGGCTTGTATCAGGGGTGCCTGAGGCCAAAGTGAGGCAACCTCCACAGAGACGTAAAATTAAGGCTTGGCAAAATCTCTCTCCTGATCTCATTGAACGAGAAAATGATTCAAGTGGGCCAAGTTGGGGGAAGGTTTAGTTTGGAGCGAAGTGTGTCCATGCCTCGCGCCTCCACCGAAGGCTTGGGGGAGCCAGGTTCCCGTTGGAGGATGGGGGGTGCCTCTTCTCCACCCTACTTGCACAGTCCTGTGGCTATTCCTTTCGACCCCGCCATTCCCTGAAGGGGCCATCACATCTTTTCATGCCTGTCCTGGCAGCCCTGTGACCTCTGGCCAGCATATGCTTCCAGACTTCGGCTTTTGGCAAAGCTTTTGAGGCCTTTGAAACCACCACCAGAAGCCAGCTGCCTTCTTGACCTCCCCTGCCCTCGGGCCAGTGTCTCTGACATGCTCTTCCCTGGTGCCACACTGGTGGCACGTTGATGGGTGGTGGCCCAAGCTCCCCGAGGGCCAGGGATGCAGGAGACCACGGAACCCCAGGCACCACTCCTCCCTTCCTTCCAGCTTTGCTGTCATCCTTTCATTATTGTTTTAATCTCATGGCCCACCACACCACACTGCCAGCTGATAAATGATGGCCACACGGGTTCCAGGGGGAGGAAATAAAACCAGGATTCTCCTGAGGGCACTGGTCAGTACCCTTTTGGAGCTGGCATCTCTGGAGGTCTGGTCTTCCCTCTCCAGAGCAGAGTGCCAGGGGCGGGTGCGGCCGAGTGCTCTGCGTTTGGGGGGCTGCTGCTGTCTCCCAGGGCTCTTCTGAGAATTTTCATGTCTTTTTCTGGGCTTTGTTTAAGCAGCCATGGAAACCATTAGGTCTAATCAGCTGATTTAAAAAAAAAAAGTCCCTGTGCCAATTACCTGTCCCGGGAGGAAGCATACAGCACAGAGGAAACAGAAAGTCACTGCTGAGGTGACTGCATCTGTGTGTTGGGAGTTGGAGGGTGGCGGGGAGAGACACAAGGACATCGGCAGTCAAAGAAAGCTTTTCTCTGTATCAGAAAGGATTCTGGCCCAGCTCTGGCCAACCTGAGATAGGGTTGAGCTGAGAGCACCCCCTTCCCGGGGTCTCCCTGGCCACCCGACTGGGACAGAGACACCTGTGCCTTTACAAACAGCATTGTCCCCCATCCCAAACCCTCCCCCAACACGCTTTGACTACTTACTCAGTGATTTCTAGGAGAAAGCAACATTTTCATGACTCTATTGTCTCAGGAAATTGTATGAACTGACCCAAGAAGTAGAAAGGACCGTATATGTGGCTCTATCTACCCATCTGTATTGAGAGACACGACATAGAGATCAACAGGGAGGTAGATGCACCTCCGAGTGGCTGGGAAACCGCAGCTCCCCTGGGGCTTCCACCGAGTGCTGAGTGCGGTGCATGGAACTGACGAGGGTTTTGGTATAGGAAAAAGAAAGTTTGCTTTTTTAATTGACTACACCATTGTTCAAAGAATGCAATGAAAGGCGTGCTCTTTCTGCAAATCTGTAAGGGAAATGCTATGGAAAGAACGGGGAAGAGGTTTCAGGACACTATCTCCATAGCAAAAGATCTTTTTCTTCCCTTTCTCCTTTGTGAGGAGCCTGAAAACCTTCCATCATGTCGTTGTCGGTGGTTGTCGCCAGCGAGAAGCTGGCAGCGAGCGAGAGCTGCGTGGGGGCTTCGAGTGGTGGCTGTTCTCTCTGACGGCTCTTTTGTGACGGCCCTAAACAGAGCATGAGGCGTACACAGATGCTGTACAGGTAGTATCTTTCCAGTTCAGGGAAAAAAAAAAAAACTGATCCAACCCTTCCTGCCATATTATTTTTAGTTCTTCCCTCCCCAACTGGCATAATTTGGTATAAATTATGTCTTCAGCAACGTCAAATCCCCCTCCTACCTTCTATTCTTAAAAAAAAAATTTTTTTTTTCACTGTCGTGTTCTATAAAATCATCAACCCTTCCCAAACTTTGCTTTCTGCTGAGAAAGTCATCATGGAATTTCTCTTCCTTGCTCTATGGGATGGCAGCGGGCTGGGCAAAGCCACGGCGTCGCCACGCTGGGAGGAGGCGGCGGGAGCTGGGGCAGAGGTGGCCCTCGTGGCTGGCATCATGTGTAGGTGTAGTCTATGTCAGGGATGCCCCCATCCCGGTAGCCCCGCGTGGTGCCGTAGCCGATGGTGTGTGTGCCCTTACAGAGGCTGCTGCCATTGGAGGGGAAGATGGTATGGACCACGTACTCCTCTTTGACGCGGTAAGGGTTGATGGGCAGCATCTGCAGCCCGGGGCCCCGGATTTCCAGGATGGAATTATCCTTCTTGGTTCCTGACTCCATATAGTCATCCTTTTTCCGGCTGCCCCGATTGTAGGCCCGATCTCGGGTCAGCAGCTCGCCGGCCCGGTGCACGTACCAGCAGATGGCCCCCAGGACCAGGAAGAGGAATACGAGGGCCACAGCACCACCAATGATGCCTGCCAGGGGCAGGCCCGCCATGGCATCCGCATTCTGCTCCTGGTTAAGGGTAGTAGTGGGGCCGTGGCTGTCTGCCGTCTCCGCCTTGGCACACACGGGCGTCTCGTCGGCCACGTAGGCGTTGCCGGTCTCCATGGTGACCATGCAGATGATGTAGGTGGACTTGGGCTCTAGCGCTGTCAACAGGTACTCTGTCTTATCCCCCTGCACCAGTGTCTCCGTGATGGAGCCCACAGCAGGGCTGTGGCCCAGGCGGAGCCAGCTGAGCCGGAAGGAGGAGGCGGGCAGTGTGGCCTTCCATGTGATGCGGATGGAGTCTGCCGTCAGCGGCTTCACGTGGATGGCCAGGGTCTTGGCGCCCTCGCCTGTGGCCATGGGGTAGTCGAGGCTGGAGTCAGGGAGGTGTAGCCCCGGCCTCTTGGCCTTGAGGGTGAAGAGCGAGCCCTGGGGTGTGGTGGCAGAGGCATGGTTGCTGGCCGTGGTCTTGGCAGCCGCGTTGGCTGCGCCCCCCTGGGAGCCCGTCTCGAAGCACTCATCCATCTCACTGGTGATGTCCCTGATGGCCATGCCGCGGACCTTCTCGGGGCCCTGGCACATGAGGCCGCGCACATTGACCACGGCCGCCCGCGCCTGCACCCAGTCCCGCAGCCACATGAGGTTACAGCCGCAGAACCAGGGGTTGTTCCTCAGTAGCAGCTGCGCCAGGTTCTCCAGGTCATCGAACAGGCCGCGGGGCAACGTGGTGAGGTTGTTGTTGGACAGGTCCAGGCGTTCCAGCTCGCGCATCTTGGCTAGCGTGTTGTAGGGGATGTGGCTAATGGCGTTGTCCTGCAGGTACAGCTTCTGCAGGTGGGCGCTGGGCAGGTTCAGGGGTGGGGCGGCCAGTGAGTTGCGCACCAGTGACAGCTCGGTGAGGTTTTGCAGGCGGCTGAATGTGTCGTCGGCAATGCGCTGGTTGGCTAGCAGGTTGCCATCGAGCACCAGGCGCCGGAGGCTGTTGAGGCCCTTGAAGGCGTGAAGCGGGATGGTGGAGATGCGGTTGTCATCCAGCCGCAGCTCCTCCAGCGTGCGGGGCAGTCCCGAGGGGATGCTGCTCAGGTGGTTCCGGCTCAGGAAGAGCAGTTTGAGCTGCTTGCTGTCGGCAAAGGCATCCTCTTCGATGCTGACGGTGGACACAGAGTTGTCATCCAGATGCAGCTTCTCTAGCAGTGGGATGCGGGCCAGTGAGTCCCTGGCAATTGTGCGCACGTTGTTGTCCTGTAGGTGCAGCTCCCGCAGGGAGCGGGGCAGGTTGACTGGGAACTCGTCCAGGTCATTCTCGTACAGGTAGATGACCTGCACATTGACCTTGGTCTTGAGGTCCTGGGGGATGCCAGCATTGTTGATCTGGTTGTTCTGCAGGTAGAGGGTGGTGGCGTCGTCGGGGATGTCAGCAGGGATGGAGGTAAGTCCCCGGTCGTTGCAGTAGATGAAGCCATTGTCACAGCGGCACACTGAGGGGCAGGTGGTGCTGTCGATGACCTCCGTCAGGAAGGCGATGAGCCCGTAGCAGAGGAAAAGCCAGTCCCGCAGGTCCATGGTGGCCGTGGTCATCATGACAGTGGCTGTGACAGTGGCAATGGGTGTGGTAGTGGCGGTGGTGGCTGGGTGTGCCACCACCATGGTGGATGGCTGGGGGGAGCCGGGCCCCGCCTGATCTGGAGTCTCAACACCTGCAAGGAGCATAAGACACGTAGGGTGAGAGAGCAAGTCTCGGCGCCCACCCGCCTGCCGCCAAGGGGTCGCTGCAGGGCAGAGGCCAAGCCTTGGGGTGCACACCCCGCAGCCCTTTCTGTGCCAGGCTTACATTGCAGGCGATCCTTGGGCTGAGGTCAGCCTCTAACGACATCTGGCTAATGCGAAATCTCATCAGGAGCAAAGATGTCTGTGAATTAGGCGGCTGCAGTTTCGGCTCCCGGATGGTGATTTCAAGCCTCGGGTGAGGTTAATTTAGTGAGAGCCACGCCGTGGTTTCTGTTTCTTCTTTTTGAGACTTCACACTAAGCCAGTCTTTATGGCTAATGCTAAAAAGTGGCTGGTCAATGTTGATGGGATGGATTTAAGGCGTGTTTTATGGATTCAAAGCCACCATTTCTCACTGGAACAGAAACTCGCATCCCTATCTGGCTTGTACCCAGGGTCTGAGGGAGAAGCTCGTTTCTGTGAGAGGCCCGTGAGTTCAAAAGAAGGGGGGTGGGGGTGGGGGTGTCAGTAGAACCTGCAAAAAAGAAGCCTGGCATTGCCACTGGTGAGCAGTGGAGAGCGAGGAGCTTCATTGTCTGGTGTTAAAACATGTCCCGTTTGTCACTCATGCATTTTACAGACAGAAGAATGAGGTGTCAACGGGATCACTTTCTTGTGTATTTACAGAAAACTCTTTTTATCTGAGGTGCCCTCCCTAGCTCTGCATTCTGTGTCGTGTGGGAAATTAATCCACACTTGCCCCCTTCCCCAATCGTGAAGCTTTCAGCTATTTTGAAAAAGAAAATTATCTGTATTCTTGCATTTAAAGAAATGATGCAAATAAAAGGAGGGAGGGGTCCATGCCAAGGGAATTGGCTGCAAGGTGTCGTTTCGGTTTTTGGAAATGGAAAAATTGCTGCATAGATTTTTCTCATATTATTTTGCTGTTCATAATGGTAAAAAAAAACAATCAAAGAGAAATGATCTTTCAACCTCAGTTGAGAAGGTGTCTTTGTGCAACCAGCAAAGGTCTGCCATGTAACTCTAGGTTCATGAAGGCTTTTCAACGGTGGGACACAACCATTGCCTCCCTTAGCCTGAGCTGGCCCACCTGGGGAACTGAACACCTACCTCCATTTCTCATCCAACGTCAAACCTCTCCCTTGTCTGTCTCTATTGCAGAACTGCTCCTCTCCACCTAGCAAACTGTTCTTCATCCTTCAGGACCATGCTCACATGTCCCCTCCTCTGCCAGGTCTTCCTAGATAGTGGAGATAGAGCCTCTCTATCTCCATCCATCCATCGGTCCACCCATCCACTACTTGTCCATCCATGCAGCTATCCATCTTAGCCATTCAGCAGATCTTTGTGGAACACCCCTCATGAGCCAGCCTGGGTTCTAGCCCCTTGGGATCCCATTCTGGCAGGACAGTAGCTCGCACTATGATAAAGACTGCTCCTAGGGCTTTATGAGCATTTATGTCATTTAACCCTTCCAGCAAACCTGACGTCAATGCTCCTCTTCCCACTTAACAGATGAGAAAACTGAGGCTCAGAGGCATTAATGCACTCAAGACCACTTGAGGAGTGGTGGGGAGGAGCCCAGGCCAGAACCTTGGCCACTAGGCTCGGGGCGCCACATCTCATGCCCTTCTCTGTGGGGTGTTGGTTGCACTGGTGGGTAGTTAGTGTTTTAATGTCCCTGATGAAATTTTAGGTAATCAAGATGGGCTTATGTAGGCCCGGTGTGGCTTGGCATCAGCAACCACCCGAGGTGCTGAGCAAGGCAGGAATGCCTCCAGGCACTGCCCCCTACATACTCATGCCCCATTTGCATTTATTGCGGCCTCTGGACAGCCAGCCCCAAGGCCTCCTGGAGTAAGCTCAGGCTTTGCCCATGGTTAACACACTAGCTGCGCTCAGGGCCTGTCAGGCAGGAAGCTTCATCCATGAGGTGGGCAGAGGACAGCTGGCTAGAAGCAAGTGAGGGCAAATGGGAAGGGTGCATGGGGTCTGTGCACAGAGCCAGAGGGGACAAGGCCTCGTGGAAAGCCGAGAGAGAGGGGGCCTGATGAGACCTTGCCCAAAACTCTGGGCTCCTGAAGCCAGCTTAGGCACCCTTTTCTGAGCATCTGCTGGCTGGAGGGGCTGAGGACACTGCCTGCTTATTTCTGGCTGCTCCCTTAACTCATCTCCTGGCCCAGGCTCTGGATCCTGAGCCCACTCACAGCTCTGCCCCGTGGGACTTGGAGAGGATCTTTGCTTCCTGCACTTGAGCTTGCTCTCGGGGGATTTAGCTGTCAGCTTTGTTTCCCTGACCTGGTGGCCCTGGCCCACTCCTGTCCTCTCATCTGCCTCCAGAGCCCTGTTGCACGCTGGTCTGCCCTCCTTCCTCTGTGTTAGCGAGAGTCATCCTATAAAATCTGGCTGGAACATGGGCATCCCAGGCTGCCTGGCCTTTATCCGACCACTGATCCCCTCATCTCTTTTTACATTTAGGACTGAGAAGGGCACTGGCCCAAACTACGCAAGAGGACAGGCTCAAAATGGGGCTGCTGCATAGACCTGGACATGCCGGCCTTCAGAGGACAGGTTAAACCCAGGCACACGGGGGACCAGCCAGCCGGGTCTCACCCAGCCCCCTTCACAGAGGCATGTTTGTACTTGTGTGGGCTTATCGTGTACACATGAAGGTTATGGAGCCTGGCTATCCCGTCTCAAGATGCTCAGGAGCAAAGAGGTGGGGCTGGGGCAGGTGCTGGGGACAGGAAGGCTCAGGTCTGCTCAAAGGCCACCTTGCCTCTGTCTCAGAGGTCCAGTCTGAATTCCTCCAGCAAGGGCCCCAGCATCTGGTCAGAGGACACACGCCTTCTCCGACCTGTCAATTGCTGAGACCTGGCACATGGGGTACGTGTGGCGCCTGGGCTTGGCCGTGTGGGGGCAGTGTCCTGAGCATGGCTCAGACTTGTTAAGGCCAAAGCCAAGGCCAGCCACCACATTCTCTGGCACACACATTAGTTCCAGGTGCCCGCTCAGCTCATGGCCGCAGCCCTCAGCCTCCAGAAGCCCTGGCATCATAATAGAGTCTAAATTGCACCTTTCAGAGATGCCTGATGGATAACCAAGAAGCAGGTGGGAAACAGGGACCCAAGGCCTTTCCCTTCCCCTGTCTGCAGGCCTCATCCATCTTGGCTGAAGCTCCCCTCCACCGCCCCTTCCCCAAGGCTGCAGAGCAGGGCACAGCTTGGGGGGTGGGTGGGGAGGAAGAGAGCATACCTTCTGGAAGAACCTTTAATTGCCCGGGGGCCAGGTGGCCTTTTTATTCCTTTGTTGTGTGTTTGATGGTTTATGTGGCCATTACATTAAACCTGGTAAATCGCCCGTCTTTTACGGGGGTCACTTAATTGTTTTGTGGATTCCACAGACTTCAGCATGATGGAGTTCTGACCTGCCAGCTCCGTGATTGACAGTACGATCCTGCCCTCTGGGGCAGGGGAAGGGAGCAGGGAGGGGGCTCAGGGTGGACATATATACAGGCCCCCATTTGCCAAGGGGGGACCTGGGGCATCATTCTTGGCATTCTCCATCAGTCACTGGCTCCTGCTGTCCTTAGGACAGAGAAACCTGGGTTTGAGTCCTGCCTCTGCCACTTCCAGGCTTCTGATAGGGACTCCTTGTCAATGGCTGTGATGCTGGGTCCCCACTCCTTCTAATTGTGTATCCTCACCCCCATACCCCAAGCCATGGTAGAAGCACTGATCCTACAGCTGGGGCGCACAGAGCTGGCCCTTCAACACCAGGACCACTCTGTGTGACCCTGGGCTGCTCTCCAGCATCTCTCTCTCATGAGGAACTAACTCTCCAGGCCCAGGGAGGGGTGTGAGTGGGTGCAGCCCACAGCTCAGCTCTTGCCTCGGTCCCCTTGGAAGTCTGAGAGGCAGCCTACCCCGGTTCCTGAAGGCCCTGACCATCCTCGTGCTGCCTCTGGGCCTTTGTTCATGATCACGGGACACCAGTACACCCTCCCTTGCTCACACCTTGCCAGGCCAGCTTCTACTCCTCCCCAAGACCTCAGCTTAGAGCCCCCCACCCCCAAGCTTTCTCTGATCCTCTGTGAAGCTGACCCCATGCTGGCTTTGCTTACAACCACTTCACTGGTGGGAGATATTTATCTGCCAGCTGGATGGAAGTGCTTCCCTGTTGGAGACCCCCTGGCCTGGTGTCTTCCCCAAATCCCATCAAGCTGGAGGCTGCCAGAGGCCCAGGGACTGCTGGGGGATCCACTTGGGAGCGGGGGTTGGAGTGAGGGTAGTTAGAGGACACAAGACCCAGCACACAAGGCCCAGCACAAGCCCTGGCATGCTGGGTAGGATGTGATGTCTACTGCTTCAGGTTCTTGGCGCACCCTTAGACATGAGCACACCAGGGGGCTGAGCGTGTTTTTGGAAGGAGCTAGAGGTCCCAGGCAGGAGAGGGAAAGCAGGGCAGGCCTCCTCATACCCCCAAGCCCCCAGCTGCCTCATGTTCATCAATGAAGGGATGTCCTGATGCTGGGTTGGTCCCCTGAAGTGGGGGGGGGGCAGTCTCAGCCCCCACTTTAGGAATCAGAGTATTCCAGGTGGTGCTGACCCCGAGATGGAAGCATGTGGACTAGAATCAGGGAAGAGACAACAAAGCTAAGTTCGAACCTGGCCTCACCAGTTCTCGGCTGAGTGGCCTGTGGCGATGCCTCTCTGGGCCTTGGCTTCCTCATCTGTAACGAGCTGCCGGGAACCCCACTCTCTGGGGAGGACAACAGGAGAGGGGCTGTGTGGAGTGCCCAGCACAGGACCAGGAGTGGTTTTAGAAAGAAAGGCTGCTTCACTCTGTCCCGGGGAGGGACCCCGAGGTGCTTCTGTGACCCACTCAGCGCAGCTGCCCACCTGTCTTGGTGGAGCTTCAGAAACAACTGAGCCAGGGAGCCCCTCGCCTTCCCCTTTCCTGTGTCCCTGCTGCCGGCCCTCTTCAGCAACAAGAATTCAGTGTGCTTTCTCTAAACCTTGCCAGGTCCTCAGGTCCTTCCTGGAAGAGCGGGGCCTGAGGCAGGAGCAAAGTGTACAGGGCAAACTAGAGTGAAAGGAGCCATGGTCTCCCCCTACCAGGCAGGGAGCTTCACCTCCGTACCTCTGTCTAAATTAACGAGGGGTCCCACACTTTCTTCCCCACCAGCAGCACTACCTTCCCAGCTTAGCTACAAGCAGCACAGGAGGAGGGCCATAAGGCAGGGGGGCTGGGAAAAGCTCCCCTGCTGCTACCTCCAGCAAGCCCTCCACCCCCACCCCTGTAAGGCCAACAGCCAAGGGGGCCTGCCTGGGCTCAGTACAGCGGCTCCCCCTCCTGAGGGTAGCCTCAGGTCTCAGGCCTTCCTCTGTAAGATGGGACCATAAATGATCCACTTCCTTGGGTCTCGTGAGGATAAGCTATGTTAGTCTTAGCAGCAGGCAGCACTTCTGGGCAGGTCCAGATGGGAACCAAGGGCCAGGGGGGAGACCTTGGCATTTTTGTGTGAGCGCCACTTTTTCGTAGCCCTAGTTCGGGCCCAGGCCAGCCGAAGCCCACTGAAGGCACCTGCTTCTGGCAGGGAGCCAGCTGCCATGACCCTGGAGCCCCTTCCAAGCCTGCCCTGCACAACAGTGCCCCTGCTCTCATCCACTGGTGCCACTGAAAACTTATAGTAGAAGGGGGAGAGGGCTAGGGTGATGGTGGTAGAGGATTCTTTTAAAACCTAAAGTTAATTATTTTTCTAATTTCATGCTGCATGCATTATGCATCAGCTGTTATCACTAGCAGTAATTGCAGACAGGTATGCAAATCCACTAAAAATGTACCTCGAGTTCACCTCACGGCGTAGGCCGGCTGGGCGGTGCCGGGCGGCAGGATGTCCTGAACTTCAGAGAATGCAAATCCCTTTCAAAAATAAGACTTTAAAATTGTGTCTTAGGAGGTTAATTATATTGATAACAGGGTTCGATATTAAACTATTCGGGGCCAGGAGGGGGTGGGGGGATGAAAGGAGACACGTGTAATTTTGTTTCTCTCTCTCCCCACATTATTGAATAAGATATTCCCACACCTGATATTTCTGTCTGTCTGTGTGCATTTTTTAGTAAAGCTGCCTAGACTGCGGCTTCCTTTCTTTGGGGAAGGAAAAAGGAAAGGGCAGGGGAGTTTCAGAAGGTAGAAGTAGGGCTGGAGGGCCTTTATTTGGGGTGGGGGGCAGAGGGAAGGAAGAAATAGGGCAGCCGGGAGGGAACCCCAGGGGTTTGTAGGGTCAGGGCTGCTGGGCCTCTGAGCAGCCAGCAGGATCCTGGCAGCCAGGGGCAGAGAGAGAGGAGCAGGGTGACCAGGAGAGACTGGGGATGGTGATGTTTGTTGATAATGAAGCAGAGGCAGGGAGCAGGCTGGGAGCAGGCTGGGGGTGGAGCCCCCTGGGGCTGTGTGCACCCCCCCACTGCCCTGTTCCTGGAGAGGCCCTCCCCCAATCATGTATCATGAGTGGATTCTCCAACCATTCACACTAGAATGTAAACTCCTCTAAGCCAGGATCTGTTCTGTCCCGTTCACCAGCCCAGCAGAGCCTGGCACAGGAGTGCTCATAAGCATCTGGTGAATGAATGAATGAGTGAGTGAATAAAGATGCCAAGGAAGGCCCCTGCCAATCTAGGTTTCTAGAAACCTAGAAACAGGGAGAGGGGGAGAAGAGGGAGGCTGGCACCCCTTCAGCCCCACCCCAGGAAGTGGTAGCCAGCCAGGTGCCCTTACCACGGCAGCCCAGGAAAGGATAGGGACTGACTGGTCTGAATTGTACAGCCAGTGGTAGAGGAGCCAGACACAGCCCCAGGCCTGGACTCGCTGTCCAGTGCTCTCTCCTGCCCTTTCAGTTGCCCAGGGGGCTGTGCCCCGCCCCAGAGGGAGAAACCTGAGGAAGACTCCTGCCTGTCCCGCTGCTCATCTCCTCTGACATGGAGAGGCTGACCTGGCATTGCCCAACTGCAGATCTACTTCCAGGCATTAGAGGCCAGCCTCATTTTCTTAGAGAAGGCCCCTTCCCTCCCACCCCACAGATATGCACAAGGGTGGACCCTGTCCTCAGGACCCTGGAATGGGGGAGGCGCAGGACCTTGGAGATTATCTGCCTTTTTTCACAGGGAAGGAAAAACTAGGCCCAGAGAGCAGAAGGGATTGATCCAGCAGCCCAGGACCCTCCTCCTCCCGGCACTGAACCCTCAAAGCCTTTCCCAGAGGTTTGGCACAGAGGGGATGATGATGCACAGTATCCAGCTCACACAGGGACTCCTGGGGCTGCCTCCCCTGCCAGCAGGTCTGCAGTCCCCTCTAGCCCCATGGAGTGGGGCCCATTAGTGGCAGTGGCTGGCCAGGGGAGCCCCTGCTGCATGTTCAGTTCTTCGTGACCTCCTCTCCCCTCCAGCTGGCCGCTGCCCTGCAGGGCTTGCACTCCCAGTGTGCAAAAACAGGGAGCACATTCAGGGAGGGGAAGGGATATGCCCAAGGTCACACTGTGTACAACAGGAGGGAGAGGGCACAAACCCATATCTGCTTGGCCCCCGGTTTGTTTCTCTTTGCTTTTCTGCCCTGGGATGGAAGGAAGCTCCACAGCTCACCAGAGGCAGAGGCCCACACTGAGCAGATTCTCCATAAATATTAGGGGTGCAGGCCTAGGGAGCAGGAGCGGGCCCTAGGAATTGCTCCCCAGCCCCTCCTGGGGCTGGGAGGTAAATAGGGACAAATGATTGGATAGTGGGGGATGCATGGTAGGAGTGAGCAAGGGGAGGCCAGGTGGGCAGGGGCTAAGCTCGGGCTCCCTGCGATCCTGACGCCTGTCGGCCCTGCTGCCGGGCTGGCACGCCTTTATAATAAATAACAGCAAATAGCCGTTCCGCAGGGCATCTTTCACGCCGGTGGCTAATAACACGGCTATTAATGCCCCCGCAGACGGCGTGCGCGTCGCGCCGGGCTGACGAATGTCCCGAGCCCTGGCGCAGTCATAAATCAGCCCCTCTCCTGGGGAAGCGTGCAAAGAAGTGTCATTTTCCATCTTGGTAATGAATTGGGGCTTCCCTACCCTGCCCTGGGTGCTGCTGCTAGAAGTTGCCTGGGATTTGTGTTTGGAGAAGTATGAGCCCTCCCTCCTGGCCTCGGGGGAGCCCAAAAGAGTGGGCACCCCCCCCCCCCGCAGGACCCAGCTCCCCACCTGACCGGCCCCGGCAGTTCGGCAGCTCGCCAGCAGCCCACAGCTCCAGTGAGGAGGAGGGGCCCTCTGGCCTGCTGTGTGATCTTGGGACGCCAGCCTGCCACTCTCACCAACAGAGGGGCTGGACTGCAAGCCAGATCACTGTTGCCCAAGGCCAGCGGGCACAAGGCCTTTGGTGGTGGCTTTGGCTCAACCCCACCCTTGGTCCTCCCGAGCAGGGCAGGGGCAGTCTAGATGGAGGGACTACCTCCAGTTGGAGGGCAGCAGGTGCCATGGCTAGTGACCTAGGTCACCAAAGGTCCTGCCTCCCCCGAGGCCTCACTACTGCCCCCTTTGGGCAGAACTCAGAGGGGCTCAAAGTGAGACCTCTCCTCTGGAGCAACAGGGTCTGGTAGGGCAGAAGGTTACTTGAGAAAAGGGTACTCCCATATACCATGGGCCCACCCACCCTGGGGGTAAAGCATGGCCACTGGGTAGCAAAAGACCCATCCCCTAGCAAGCAAAACTGTCAGTTGCCTGACTCTGGGTGGGCTGGGTGGGCTGGAGCTGCAGACCTGGGGAGGTCTGTGATACCCAGTGCAACCCAGCTGGAAAGAGAGCAGGCCCCAGCCGCCTCATGCGCCACACTGTCTCTGGGCATTAGGAGCTACTGGGCCTTCCTGGGCCACCCAGAGCCCATCCACATCTGCCTTACCTCCTGAGCTGCAGCCCCGGAGCCTGCTGGGGTCTCTGTTCTGGATGCTTCCACTTGAGGTGGACCTGAAGACACTCACATTCCGACCCTGTGGCCCCGGCACTCAGGGGCAGGCTGCAGAGCTGGAGTATTGGGTGGAGCTAGGGGCTCCCCCCCGGGGAGCGGGGAAGACCCCCGCTGTGCTCTGCTCTGCCGGGCTCCTGGAGCTCACACGTGGCTGCAGGGCTGGCGTCGCATGCTCTGTCCGGTAGGCTTCAGGCACAGCTGGCCTCTGCCCCTGGAGTGAGGGGTGGGCACGAGGGGCCCGTAGAGGCACTCCCTGCAGGCCAGGGCCTCCTGCGTGCAGCCTGAAGGGGTTCTGGGCCCCTGCTCCCCAGGCATGCCCTAGAGCCTGGGGTCCATCCTGCCCAGGTGGCCTCTCACTGTCCTCTTTCAACTTTTGCCCTTTTGTCTGTTGGCCACCTCCTCTGAAAGGCTTCTGCGTGTCTTTTACCCTCTTTTCTTCACCAAGTTTTTTTTTTTTTTTTTTTTTTTTTAATCCCTTGAAGTCACTTGGCAGAATGGGCTCCGGTGCAGAGAGCGTTCTTGCGTGACAGAGCTGAGGGGGAGCCACTCTCCAAAGAATCTGTATTCCTGCCACTCAGGCTGTGTCTCCGGTGGGGAGGAGGGAGGGGGTCCATTACCCCGCTGAGGAGTTCAGACGTTCACGGGGGCTGGAGCTGCTGACATGCGCCACTGAGCTGTCAGGCCTCTCTTTGGAAAGATGTTCGGGGGTGGGGGGTGGTGGGGGGCGTGCTCAGTCCTGCTTGGCTTCTCCTGTTTGTTGAAAAGGTTTTCTTGCTCGGGAGGCGGGTTGGGGAGGGACAAGTTAGTCCCGCTTCACCCCCTGGTCTTGTCTGTCCAAAAAAGAGTTCTGCTCACCCACTCCCTGCCTCCTCACCTGCCAAAAAACAATACAAGCGATTAAGGCCGGGAAAATGAGGAGCCACGCAGGGACAGGCGGCTGGGGCTGCATGGCCCCCTCTCCTGCCATCCCTCTGGAACCCGCTTTCTTGAACACCACTCTCCAGTGAGCTGGGAGGGGGCTGGCATGATTCTCCATCATCTCCCTTCTCCTCTCAAATTCAGAGAACAAACAGGGGGCCATGCAGAGCACCCTCCTCAAAGCTCCCCAGTTTCCTTTCGCTGGGGAGGAGGGATCGGAAAGAGACATGAAGTTCTGAGGGCTCCTGGCTGTGCAGGGGCTGCCTGCCCGGCCCAGAGCTGGCTCCACTTCCCCCAGCACCTGCTCCTCTTGCTAAAATGTCATTCAAAGGATCCAACTGGGCCACCTCGGCCTCAGCTTCCAGAAGCAGCACTGCCTTCCCTCACCATGGGAAGCGGGAGCAGCAGGGAAGCGAAGTTAGGTCTCAGAGTCCCTGGCCTCCATCCTGCAGCTGCCCCACTTCCTAGGCCAGGGTCAGGGCTCCACGCCCCCAGTGCCCTCAGAGGCCATCCACCCCTTCCACAGAGGCCCGGAGGCAGGGCTGGCTGCTCCTCAGAATCCAAAACAAAACCCAAGCCCTCCGATCACCTCTCATTAGCGTGGCGTGCTGAAGCCCTGCAGTGCCCCAGTGTCCGCATTCCCCCTGCGGGAGCCCCTCTTTGCAAAAGAGCTTTTATTACACATCTGAGAGTGTGAGCTCTGGTTTGAAATCGGATCCAGATGGGCTCTGCTGCATCTGGGCACTCTCCTTTGTTGGGCTGAAGGTGGCTGATTTGAGAAATGCTTGTTGTCTGGGGCTGTTACAAATAAAACCAAGGATATTTAGGGGTGCCTAAATATCTAGAAGTCCAGAGCCCAGGCAGGGGTGGAGCGCACTGCCCCCCTGGATGTCCAGCCTGGCAGGGGTGCACATGGGACTAGGGGTGGAGTGCAGGCTGAGGCTCACCTGGCTGACAGGATAAGTGGGGGAATCTTGGGACAAGCCTCCCCAGGAGGAAAGAGGTACAAGAACCAGCAAAGCCCCATGGATCCTGTGTGGCCAGGCCCTGAGGTGCCAGTGGGCAGATAGGGTGTGGCCCCTGCGGGGCGGGGGTAAGGGGGCTGGGCAGGAGGGAGGGACAGAATAGTCCCTGCGTGAGGGGTGACTGATGGCTATGGCGTGGGTTCTTATTGCTATTAGCCCCGCGTGATTTCATCGGATTATAAATTGTAATTTCTCTATGAAAGTGAGAAATGGAAACAATCCAGTGAGGTCATCTGACTCCCTGGCCAGGGCGAGAAAATTGTTTTGTACCCCTGAGGGGTGGGAGGGGAGGTGGCTGGGCCACAGTATGGAGAGAGAATGTTGGCAGTGTCCTCGGAGCCCAGAGGCTCCAGCCGGCCATGGCTGCTGATCCCCCACGATAGAGAAACGGCCTAAGTTCTGCTTTTGAAGTTAGGAACCAGGAGGGCAGCTTTATCCTGCTGGCACCAGGCCCTTTTCACAGCCCTTGGGATAAAAAGGCAAGGCTCCTACGCAGCCTCTGGAGCCCCACATGGCACAGCCCCACCTGTACATTGGAGTCCCTGGCATGCCCCAAGCCCTCTCTCCCCAGGCCCTCCCCCCAAGCAGTCCCCGCTCGTTCAGGGGTCCACCCAGCATCACCCTCACCTCCTGCAGCCCCCTTCTCCTTGGGGTACATGGTCACACAAACCATAGTGTCCTGAAAGGAAGGACTGTGTCTGCTTGTCTGAGGAAGATCCCCCAGTACCTGGCTCAGTGCCTTGCACACAGTAGGCGCTTCATAAGTGTACCCTGTGAACTCCCCTCTCTCCTTTCTCATTTAAAAAACTGGGGTCTAGGATCCCTGGGTGGCGCAGCGGTTTGGCGCCTGCCTTTGGCCCAGGGCGCGATCCTGGAGACCCGGGATCGAATCCCACGTCGGGCTCCCGGTGCATGGAGCCTGCTTCTCCCTCTGCCTGTGTCTCTGCCTCTCTCTCATTCTCTCTGTGTGACTATCATAAATAAATAAAAATTTAAAAATTAAAAAAAAAAACAACTGGGGTCTAAACTAGGCTCTTGCTGGGCCTGTCTGACTTTGTCCATCCTGGGTCGGCCTGGCTGGCGGTGCTTGGGAGGTGTGAGCTCTGCTCATTGTGGGTGCGTAGTGATAATAGTTAGTAGCCACCTGCGCTCATTGAGCCAAACCAGGCCCAGGAATAAATATGTAAAATATGTGCCCTCCTGGAGAACATCTACCTACCCCAGCAGGTGCACTATTGGATCGTGTAGGCAGGCCAAGGCCACACAATGCAGAATGAATGCTCCATGCGGACTTTCTATGTGGTCAAATTGAGCGGGTGGTCAATAGGACAAACTGAATCTGTGGGTTCCCAAGGGTTCAGCCGTGGGAGCTCCTCCTGGGCCCCAGGCCACTTTGGCCATGTAGGCCCTTCCCCCTACAGGGCATTCTCTGCCCACCACCCCTCGCCTCGGCTTCCCTGTTCCCACAAGCCCCAGGTCTCTGCTCTGCCAAATGGACCATTTTTTTGGGTGAACATAATAAAAGCTTCCATTTGTATGCACTTGAGATGCTTACAATTTTACTCTGTGTTATAAATAATAACACCATAACCATACTAAAAGAAATTTGAAAGGGGGATAGAAAGCCAAGTGCACAATCCCACATGTCTACGCTGCTCCACTTTGGCTGGATCAGCCCGTACACATACACTGTCTGCAAGGGGATAGTGCATGCGCTTTATCCTTTTCCAGGTCATCTCTGCTTTGCTGTCTCTCTTAAGCCTTGGGACAACCCAGTATAGCTGGCCAGGCAGGGCGGACCATGACCCTGAGAAGGTGCCACTTGTCCAAGATCGCACAACCTGCATGACAGACATCCATGGCCTGGAACTCTTGGGCCAGTGCACCTCACTCTGCATGACACTGAGGCTCAGTGCAACAGAAACCCGCCATTAACCAAACACATGGTGGCCCCTGGGCCCACTTTACTGAGGGAACATGGGTTTTCCTGTGGCCCTCCTGGCAGTCATCTGTCCATCCATCCATGTCTCTCCATTCATCCATCCTTCTCTCCATTCACCCATCATGCATCTGTCCATCTATCCATCCATGCATCAATCCCTCCCTCTCTCTCCCCATCCCTCCGTCCATCTACATGTCTGTCCATCTCTCTCTCCCCCACTCCATCCATCCAGTAAACATGTATAAATGTGTACTGCATCCAGTCATGCTCCCAGCGGCACCATGCAAGATGCTGGGATCCAGAGAATCCCAGGAGCTCGAAGTCTAGTGGGAAGGCCATTGATTGGTGAAGGGCCACAGTATGTGACCCACACAGGGCCCTATGGTGGCAAAAACCCGCCTTGCCCAGACCCATCACTGGGGGCCTGATGGTGAAGGTAACACTGTGCTGGGGTTCTGGGGTTCCCCAGACTCCCACATCATGATAGTTACATGTGAACTCAGTGGCAAGCTAGGGGCAGGTGGGTGAGGCTGGGTCTCTCCCAACCACCAGCCTAGCCTGTCCGTCTTCTAGGGCCCCTGTCCTACCTTTCGACCTCAGGGCTTCCCCCCGAACTGGAAACAACTCTCCAGCTTTGCAGTTTCTAGCTGCCCTGATGGTCCGTACTCGCTGATATTAATTCCTATATTAGCAATTAGCCCTCCTGCTTCATTTCAACCTATGGCTCTTAGGGATGGATTATTATGTGTGTGTCATTAATCAGATGGCTGGTATGTGCTGCTGGAAACCCAGGTGGGCTTTATGGCTGGTAACTTAGGTCGAGTGGCATTTTGAATGAATAACACACCTGCCCCCCGCTCCCCGGGCAGAGCTGCCCTGTGGCAAAGAGGGCAGAGTTTAGATCATCGCAAGCAGGTCAAAGCTGGCGCAAGCTAGGAGACCCAGGGTTTTCTTTTATGCAGGACTTCCAGGCTGAGGTCAGCATCTGTATCCGACCTGTATAGATAAAAAGGCTCTTTGTGACTCAAACCTAGAGTTTGTTCTGTGGCTGCTGACTTCCTCCCGCCAGGACGGCCATCCACAGGGCCTGTTCCTCTTTCCCTACAGTGACCACGGCGTGTGGGTCACTCCTCTCTTGTGGCAGCACGGACCTGGGAGCTGTCACGGCCACATCCCTCTCTCCAGGGGCAGAGGGCTGGGGGCTGGAGCCACAGGGCAGGGGGAGCTTTTCCATTTGGGAGTACAGACTGCTCCTGGATCAGAGCCAGCACAGTAGTGGTGGGGCAGGAAGGGCACTTTGGGTAAAGGAACAGCATATGCAGTGGCTCAGAGTGGGAGGGCTTGGTGGTGAGAAGGCTGGTGTCCCAAAGCTCTGAGTTGGTGGAGACAGTGATCTGAGCAGAAGTGGGAGATGGGATTTTGGCCTTGGGGGGAGTTTTGAATGTTCTTCTGAGGGGCCTGGTCTTCACACTGAGGGCAGTGGGGAGTCAGGGAATGTACTCAGGCAGGAGGAAGCATGACCAGACCTTCGTGGAGAATCGGAGGGCGTGAGGTACATGAGAGGGACCCAGTGAGAAGCTGGGACTTGTCCTCAGCAGCAGGAAGGGGTGGGGGCCTGGGCTGGGGGTAGGCAATACTGGGGCTCAGGGGAAGGGGATGGCTAGGCAGGCTACCTGAAGACAGGCCTGGAGGCTGAGTGCACTCCCGCCCCTTTCTCCTTGCTAGAGGGTGGTGGCCTGAAGCAGCACCATGCACAGCCAGCCTGCCGTGGGGCTTGGAGCCTGGCTGAGTGGGGGTGTTTCTGGGTGCCTGGGGCGGGGGCAGCAGCAGGCCTCTGCAGGAGGGCATGTTTGGAGGCTCCAGCTCCTCCCTCTCTGCCCTGTTCCTGCCCTCTTCTCACTCACTCTGGCCCCCTGGCTTGGCACTACAGCACGGCACCCCAGAGCAGGTGAGAAGAGGTGGAGGCGAGAGAGCCTGCATATACAGTGC